TGCACCACCAATTTTTTTTAATCATAATTATAATAATTTTTATTTTTATTTTTAATCTTATCATAATAAATCTCACAACCTATCTATCTAAATGGATCTTACTTTCTTTATATTGTAATTTTACTTTTTTTAATACTTATTTTGAAAGGCAAGTCCTTTCAGGCATTTTCCCATGATCCATCTCGGGTCACAATTTTTATATGTAGAATAAAAGTGAATAAGCAACAACTACAATAAACAGTTAATGGTGAAAAAAAATTAAAATCAATTTAAAATTGTAGTGTTGGTCCAGTTAAATTAATTTTTTTATTTGATTTAAATCAAATTGGATATTAAATTTATATATTAAGTTCGGGTTGGATTTAAAATCTGAATGTGAAAAACAAAAAAAAAATAAATCGAATCAAATTATATATGTTTATTAGTTTTTAAATTTTTAAAAATTTTTCTAAAATAAAATAATTATTTATATAATCTATTTAAATATATTAAAATTATATTAAAATAATAAATAAAAAATTAAATTTAAAAATTAATGAACCGAATCGAAATTGTTAAAATTCATTTTGGATTAGATTAGTTTTAAAGAAAGATCAATTTAAATTCGAATCAAATTTAAAAAAATCATAATATTATACATTCTAAAAAAACGAATTAAATCCAATCTAATCTAAACCATTAATAACCCTAAAAAAATTATTATTAACAAAAAAAAATAATCATCTCCCAATCACTTTTTTTTTTTTTTAATTATCACCCTCTATTATTTCGCTCCCACTTGCTCTCCACTTAAATCCCTAAGTTTTTTATTTTCAAAAATACAAAATGATATATTTAAAATTTATAAAATGTGTTTAAATGAAATTTTTTATAATTTTGAAAAAAATTAAATGAAAACATTTTAAAATGCATTATTTTAAAATATTAATGTTTATAATAATTTAAAAAAAATTATACATATCAAATTGAATTCAAAAAATTTAAAACTCATTGACTCATAAAATTAATAGAGTTTATATATATATATATATAAGTATAATATATGAATGATAAAATATAATATTTAATATTAATATTTATAATTTTATTAAATTTAATCAAATCAAATTGATTGACTTAATTGAATTACAAACTAATTTAAAAACTCATTAATAAAAAAACAATTTAATCGAATAAATTTGAATCAAATTTTAAATTTTTTATTTAAATTAAACTCAAATCAAAGTTAAATTTAACTCAAATTTAATAATTTATAGATTCAATTTGAATACATCCTAATAAGGAGCAAATATTTGAAGGAATAATGGCAAACCTAGTATCCAAAATATGGCAGAATCAATGGCAAATTTAGCAATTCATGTTGCAAAACTTATTGAGAAATTAAATTTGTCAAGGAAGAATTGTTCAATGAATTTAACAATTCCCATGGGACTTCTATGATAGATCCAAATTTACAGCAAATGGAATTTCAACCATATACGTTGAAAAAAAATGCTGAAATTAAAGTCCGTGCGAAGGGCAATAAAATTATTGACGACAGCAGTGAAAATCAGTACAAAACGATGAGTCACCAAAACATGAGATACCAAATGTCAAATCTTGAAACAGAGAGGCATCCAATCCCAAAGATTAACAAGGAAAAGAAATCAGGCATCTCAGCAAGTCCATCAACAGCAAGGACAAAGCAACTACAGTTCCTCAGATTTACAAGATAACAATCATGTGAAAAAGAAAGGAGTTTGGGTAAAAACCATTCCCCATTACAAATTTAACTCAGAATTGATATTGCCAACTTGTGAAGAAAGTAGAATTTTACAGTCGTACCTATAGTCAGAAAGAAAAAGAAGTTTTGAGCTACTTGAACCACTCATTTATAATGACATACAGCTGTTAAGAGAGAATCAATTATTTAAATATCTGATGTAAGCAATGATGTAAAAAGTTCTATTTTATACGACGATATTAATTCAAAATTTAATTTAATTATTTTATAAAATTATTTTTAATATTAATTCAAAATTTAATTTAATTAATTTATAAAATTATTTTTAAAAAATAACACTTATAACATTTTTTTATTTCAAACGACAACTTTGTTTATAAAAAAATTCTGTTTATATTTTAAATTTATACAATTAATATTTTTTTAAAAAAATTTAAAACTAGGAGAAATTATTTAAAGTTAGCCGTTAATCTATAAAAAAAATTTACAGATCATTTAAAATTTTTTAAATTTATAAATTATTTATCAATAAAAAATTATAAAAATTTAAATTTAAATATTTTACATTTATATTTTAAAATTTAACCATTTATATCGATCTCAATTTTGAATTTATACAATTAATTTATATTTACATATATCTCCGATTGTGACAATTTCATCAAAATAATATAATCAAAATGTACTTCTTTTAGTTTTATTTATAAAATATTTTTTTTTTGCCAATTGAATTAATTTTAATCTATTTTTAACACTTTAGTATCAATTTGAATTTGATCACATTTTTCATGTAATACGATTGAATTTATTATATTATTAATTAAATTTAAATGTTAATTTTAGTGAGATTTATTTAATATAAATTTTTTATTAAAATTTTTTCAATCACAATTATAATAACTTTTTTTTTAATCATACCAACAATAACTTTTATTTCTATTTTTAATCTTACCATAATAAATCTTATCATTTATCTAAATAATGGAGTCTTACTTTCTTTATCTCGTAGCATTACTTTTTTTAATAACTTACTTTGAAAGACAAGTTCCTTCAGGCTCTTTCCTATGATCCATCTTGGGTCACAGTTTTTATATGTAGAATAAAAGTGAATAAGCAAGAATTATAATAAAAAGTTAATGGTGAAAAAAAATTAAAAATTGATTTCAAATCATGGTATTAAATCCAATTTAGATCAAATTTTTTACTTGATTTAGATCAAATTTAGATATTAAATATATATATATTAAATTTAGATCAAATTTAAGATCTGAAAAAAGTTGAATCAATTATATATGTTTATTAATTTTTATATCTATTTTTAAATTTTTATAAAATAAAAATAATTATTTTATATAAATCTCTTTAAATATGTTAAAAATTAGATTAAAATAATATATAAAAAATTAAATTTAAAATTAAAAACCAATGAACAAAACCGAATTAATAAAATTTGGTTTAGATTAGATCAATTTAAAAAAAAAGTATTAATTCGAATTCAGATCAAATTTTTAAAATTTATAATATTATATATTCTAAAAAAACGAATTAAATCTAATCCAATTTAAATTATTATCACTCCTAAAAAAAATTATTATTACCCAAAAAAAAAAATCCATACTATTGCTATATATAAAATCCTCTATTTGAAATTGAAGTGCACGTTTGGCCAAATTACCAGCGACTTTATTTCTTATCCATTGAGAAGTTTACTAAGCATAGAGTGAAAATTTTCAAGTAATTTCGACCAAAAATTTTTTTTCAAGTAATTCCTTAATTTTTCTCTTTTAAAGAATGTTTGTGTTGGGTTTTGTCTCTTTAGAGTATGATCTTTTGTAATATTCCAAGATGATAGAGCTTGACATAAAAAAAATACTTGTAAACTAAAACTAAGGAGACTTACATTCTAAGAAGTCTTTTTAGAATATCATCTTGAAATATTCAAAGATAATATTACAAAAGATCATATTTAAAAGAGACTTAACACAATACAAGCATTCATTAAAAAAAAATAATAAGAAACTACATAGAAATTAAAACACGTTCCCGCTGTGATTATCCATTTGAATAACTTTATTACAGTGCGATTCAGTCAGAGGAATAATCTCCATTGGTGAAAAAGGATGTAATAACTCACCGCAATCCATTTTGGACATTTTGTCTTCATAAAATTCTTTTAATTTCATTTTACCCCTTCTTTAAAAATTTATTAAGATTAAAATAATTATAATAAATTTAAAATTAATATTTTGTTTCTACTCTCATTATTATTTTTTATTATTTCTTTAAATAATTAATTTTTTATATTTTATATATTAAATAAAATTAAAATATGTATTAAAATAATTTTTTAATTTGTTAGTGGATTAATGTCTAAAGTAATCATTTTTTTAATTTTCACATTACTACTACAGTTACTTTTACATTGAAATGCATATTCAATTATTGATTTTAATTTCATAGTTGCATATCTAATCTTATTGTTACAATAATTAATTTTATCATTATCTTTATTTTTAATCTTATGAGGACCAATCTTATTATCCGTCCAAATGAATCGTAAATCTTTTATGTTGCCCATAATATTAACGATTCTTATGTATCTTGCAATTTATAATTTAATTGGTACTATGAACATATTAAAAATGGGTGGCCAAAAGAAAGATACTTTAATTAAATTAAATGAATAAAAATTTACGTATATTTTAGAATTATTTTTTTATATATTGACTTGACTATTGAATTATGGTTTATATTTAATAATTGAATTATTATTTTATATGCATATATATATTGATGATAGAATTTTTAAAAATTTATATATTTTTGTAAATATATTATTATAAAATACATGTTAATTTGTTAATTTTGTTTATAAAATTTATAAAATTTATATTAAATAATTTTTAATTTGTTAATTTTTTTACATACTTATTTTTTTAATTATGACCTAATGATATGTAATAATCCTATAAACTCATTTATCAAGTTTAATTTGATTGATGTATCATATAATTTTTATTTAAATTAATTATCATGAATTTTTTTTAAACTTTACTTTTGATTAAAATAAGTGCAAATTAACTAAACTAAAATAATCTTTTATTTACTTTATAAAAAAATAAAATATAAAAAATTAATATTGATGGGAAAGTTTAAAATTTAATTAAATTAATTTATACAATAACAATAAATCTAAAATTTAAATATCAATATTTATAATTTTTTTATGTTACAATTTTTTATAAAAAAATTTAATAAAGTTAATTTAAACGTAAAAGATTCACAATGTTGAAGTTACATTTTTTCACTTAATTTGGATGTTTCATAGTGACTGAATTGCGCTAGTTTTTTGCATAAATACCTCACCATGCCAGCCAATGTAATTTACAACAATTAACAAACAATACTTTTTGAACCATCCAAATCATGGCATCTTTCATGATACCATTCAAAGCCCTGTTCTTCCTCATAGTCGTCCTGCGTCAGCCTCCCTTTGTTTTTGCTTCTTCATCCTCCGTTGCTGCAAATGAAACGGAAACTCTTCTAAAATGGAAAGCTAGTCTTGACAACAACACCCAAACTTTGCTCTCTTCTTTGTGGGTTGGAGGCAACCATTGCAACTGGGTGGGAATCACTTGCGACATGGATGGAACCATCACCGATCTAAGCCTTCCAGATCATATGTTGAACTTGAAAGGTGCACTTCATAGTCTTAACTTTTTTTTCTTCCCTAACCTGGTGTGGCTTAACCTTCGTAACAACTCACTGTATGGGTCCATTCCCTCACAGATTGGGAACCTTTCCAAGCTCACCCACCTTGACTTGTCATACAATACTTTTTCTGGGAATATTCCATCCGAAATTTCCTTATTGAGAAGTCTTGAGTTGATTTCCTTATCAAATAATGAGATCAATGGTTCCATTCCACAAGAAATAGGAAGGTTGAGTTCAGTTTCTGTAGACACCGATTTTGTCCGGGTCTACCATTTCTAAAAACAAAAAAACAAAAAAAACAAACAAACAAAACAAACAAAACAAACAAAAAAATAAAACGAAAATAAGAAAAAAGTCAAGGGGTTGGTACGGCGCCGAACTGGTCCAACCAACCCCCGACCAGCCTCCCGACCAGCCCTCCGACCAGCCACCCTATAGCCACCAACAAACTACCCTACAGCCACCTAAACCCCCTAAATCGAAACCCTTTAAAATCCCCAGCCATCTTCCTCATTCGAGATCGGTCTCGGAGCTCTCGAAAAAGAAAGAAAAAAATCCATTTTCAAACACACAGCTACCTTCCTTCAAAACACTCCCAAACACCCAAAATACCCAAACAGAAACCACACCAACAGAAAAAAAAGAAACGCAAAAAAAAAAAACAGAAACACAAAAACAGAAACAAAAACCAAAACGAAATCACAGTCCTCCCCGTAGGGAGGAACCTCAGCGCCGAGCCACCTGCACCAACAAAGAAAGGTACCAGTTAGCTTTCGACACAAACAAAAAAAGAAGAAAAAAAGTATATCGAAAACTTCAAAACCCGATCTACGCGAATCAAGGCCGTTTTTGGTGAAAAGGAGGCCAGATCTGCGCTCAGGAGGTCGAGAAGAGTTTGTGGGAGAATTTTGAGATTTTTCAACCACTGATGACCGGCGACCCAGGCGGCGGCCGACGCGGTGGTCCGGCGATCAGACGGTGGCCGGTCGGAGCTCTCCCCGTAGAGCTCCCTCTCTCTCTCTAGTTTTTTTCTGAAACAGAAACCAAATGACCAAAAAAAAAAGCTTCAGATATATATAGTAAAGCCAAAACTCAAAACGACGTCGTTTAGGGAAAGACCCAAAACGACGCCGTTTTAAACAAAGAGGATCCGCGCATGGACCCAGATCCGACCCGAGATCCGCGCAACCCGACTCAACAACCCGTTCCAGCCAGCCTTGAACCGGTTCAATGAACCGCCAGTGGACCGGATTGAACCGGTCAGATCGCCCGGACCGCCGATCCGATCGCCAGAACCGTCGATCTAACCGTCGAACCGGTCAGACCGCCCGGACAGTTGACCGGTCCGGTTCAGGTAAATTTTTTTTTTTTTTGAATTTTCTAATTTTTTTTATTATTATTTTTGTTATTTTATATATTTATGCATGATAAATTTATAAATTTGTTAGAATGAATGTTTAATCGTTTTAATAATAATAAAATTAAAAATAAATAATAATTAAAATATATTAAAATGCTCAAAAATAATAATAATAATTTTCCCTGCCTAGATGTTGGAGGGAATAAAAATATTTTTTTAAAACAATAATTCCGCCTAGATGTTGGGGAATTATTGTTAATAATAAATAAACATAAGAAATTTTTAATTAATTTTTAAAAATTATTAAAATCGAACTTGCTTCGAAAATCCGCCTAGATGTTGGAGATTTTTAGAGATGTTCGTATTTTCTTAAAAACAAAACCTTAAGCATTATTTCTTAATCCTAGGTTTCTAAAACCCCTAAAAATCCAAAACCCATTAAATCCAAAACCCCCCGAAATCCAAAATCCTTGAAATCCAAAGTCTTAAAAAAAAATCCTAAGGACACGTGTGAAAATTCTATTTGAAGCAATTTGTTCCCGAATGCTGCCTAGATGATGGGGTATTTAGGAAATTTTACTTCGTGAAGTCTTTTCACGCGATTTCTTAATTCGTATTAATAATAAGATTAATAAATAAAAAGTATAATAAAATTAGGATCTTAAATATAAACAGTCGCACCTAAGCTCTGCCTAGATGTTGGAGAGTCGGGGTGGTCTCATTATATTTAAGAATCCAACTCTTAAATTGCATTTTATTAATAATAAGATTAATAAATAAAAAAGTATAATAAAATTGGGATCTTAAATATAAACAGTCGCACCTAAGCTCTGCCTAGATGTTGGAGAGTCGGGGTGGTCTCATTATATTTAAGAATCCAACTCTTAAATTGCATTTCATTTTACATGACATTCATTAGCATACATATGTTATCGTATTATCATCAATAATTGTCTGCATTATTCTCTCTTTAATTTACTCATGGTACTCTGCCTAGATGTTGGAGAGTCACCAACAATTTTCTATAAAGAGTGTTATTTTATTTTAAGGATTGTTGTGTTAAATCTTAAGCGAAATGGGTTATTTTAAATTCTGCCTAGATGTTGGAGAATTTTAAGATAATTCTTTAACTTAAAGAGTTTCTCAATATTCCTAAATAAAAATTTTAGCAAAAGGATATTTTTTAAATAAAAGAAATTAATGTTAAATTTCAAATTAAAACAATTTTTATCCAACGTCGAAAATAGCGCATAATTAAATGGTACCAATTTATGGGCGTTGTGGGGGTGCTAATCTTTCCCACACGTAACCGACTCCCGGACCCAACCTGATTTTTTCGCAGATCGAAATTTGTCTTTTTGATAAACTCTAAACTCGTTTTTATAGTTTTATTAAAAAGATAAACTTTTGGGTGGCCAATCACACCCTAACAAAGATTGGTGGCGACTCCCTCTTTTATCTTTTTTTATTTTAAAACATCTCATTTTTACGTCTGGCGGTCCCAAAACCGTTACGACAGTTTCCAAGATCTATTTCTATGTTAACCATCTAAGTGGTTCTATACCTGAAGAGGTTTGCAACCTTTCCAAGCTCACTGAGCTTGACTTGTCACAGAATAATTTCTTTGGAAGTATTACTTCTAAAATCGAAAGGTTGAGTTCACTTTCTATACTTGCCCTTAATGCAAACAATCTCACCGGTCCAATACCTATTTCCATTGGAAGCTTGCACAATTTGTCCTGACTTATCCTCGTTGACAATAGGCTCAATGGTTCCATACCTAAAGAAGTTGGAATGATGAAGTCACTTAATATGCTTGATCTTTCAGCCAACCAACTAACTGGTCCTATCCCTGTTAGGAAAATGGGGTCCAGTCCCATGTAAGTGGTTTTGGACCAAGTAAAGGCCATGGGCCTTGATCTTTTATTTTACACAGAGCCCTAGCTACTTAATAAAAAAGAGGTGGGGTTGTTTTATGTGTGTGTCAAAAACCAAGCAGAAAAAAAAAGAAAAGCCAGGAAAAGCAAAGAGAGAAAAAGGAGAAGGGAGAGTTGTTGAACGGAAGTCAATCCGTGGTCCGATTGAGTTGGAACCTTGTCAGGAGGTTTATGATTCAGAGTTCTACATTCTGAACGGTGAAGATCGGGTTTGAAGCTCTCTAGGAACAAATCCAGGGTGTATTTGTTGAGTCACTTATTTGGTGAGATTTCTCCAATTGTTTCTCTAGTTGTTGATTAGCTCTAGTTTTAGCTAGAGAAGAACTTTGTATAACTATTATTTGATAGTAAAGATTTTTCTGGTGGCCCATGGTTTTTTCCCTCTACACTGGAGGGTTTTCCACGTAAATCTTGGTGTACTTTATTTTTCCTGCGCATTTGATTATTGATTGTTGTCTATTGCTTCTGTATTGTTGTGATTATTGCTTCAGGCGCAACAAGTGGTATCAGAGCGAGGGTTATTTTGAGACATCGATACAGAAGCATCCCAGGATAGAAGTAAATTATGTTTGAGATCATGGAGGGTGATACAGGTTCCATGATAAAATTGACAGCATCGAATTATTCAATTTGGAAGCCTATGATGGAGGATCATCTATACTGTAAAGATTTGTATGAGCCAGTATTGGGTGATTCGGTTAAACCAGCAGATATGAAAGATGAAAGTTGGAAGAAGCTAGGTAGAAAGACGCTGGCTACAATCAGAAAATGAGTTGATATCAGCGTGTTCCATCATGTAGCGCAGGAGTCAGATGCTCACATTGTTTGAGAAAAATTGGCAGCATTGTATGAGAGAAAAACAGGTATGAATAAAGTTATGCTTGTTAAAAAGATTGCAACTTTACAGTACAGGGATGGACGATCTGTTACAGAGCACTTGAGTAATTTTCAAGATATATTTAATCGGATGACTACTATGGAACTTAAGATGGATGATGAAATGAAGGCATTATTTTTTTTGGGTTCATTACCAGACAGTTGGAATACTCTAGTTGTGACTGTTCTTAATTCAGCTCCTGATTATAAGGTGACATTGGAGATGGTAAAGGACAGTATGCTTAATGAAGAAGCGAGGCGAAAAGATGTAGACCCTGGGAATCAAGCTCTGGTCACAGAGAATAGGGGTAGAAACATCGACAGAGGTCAGGACTCAAAAGGCCATGGTAAGTCTAAACATAGATCCAAGTCTAGAGGTAAAGTGAAGTGTTTCCATTATGGTAAGGCGGGTCATATAAAACGAAACTGTAAAATCTTAAAGCAAGAGCGAAAAGATGAGAAAGGCAAGAGTTCAGATGATGGCAATGTTGCAGCAGTGAATTCAGATAGTGATTCAGTTACTTTGATTTGTACACATGGTGATTGTAATCATGTTAGTGATCCCGACATTGAGTGGATAGTTGACACAGGAGCGGCATATCATTGTGTTCTTAAGAGAGAGTTGTTTACAACTTACAAAGCAAGAGACTTTGGTTGTACCAAGATGGGAAACAAGAGTGTGTCGCAGATTGTTGGGATTGGTGATATTGTTGTACAAACTAGTACAGGCTGCATGTTGACTTTGAGGGATGTCAGACACATTCCAGATATGAGAATGAACTTGCTTGCTATTAATGTCCTTGATAAGGAGGGATATGAAAGCCGACAAAAGACTAGACAGTGAAAGCTTCTCAAAGGATCTATGGTAGTTGCAAGGGGAAAACTATGCTGCACAATGTATAAGACATGGATGCAATTGAACGGTAACTAGGTAAATACCATTGAAAATTATGCTTCAGCAAACTTGTGGCACAGGAGGCTGGCACACATGAATGAAAAAGGGTTACAGGTTTTGGCAAGGCACTCTCTCATTCCCTTGACCAAAGGTATGTCTCTCGATTCATGTGATTATTGTTTGTTTGGTAAGCATCATAGAGTTTCTTTTCGTAAAAGTTCTCAGAGAAAAGAAAATAGATTGGAATTAGTTTATTCTGACGTATGTGGTCCCATTAAGGTTGAGTCATTAGGTGGTAGCAGATATTTTGTTACTTTTATTGATGATGCTTCACGTAAGACTTGGGTGTATATGTTGAAATATAAAAGTCAGGTACTGCAGTATTTTCAAAAATTTCATGCCATGGTTGAAAGGATGACAGGGTTACCCTTGAAGTGTATTCGAACTGATAATGGTGGGGAATACACATCTAAAAGCTTTGAAGAGTATTGCTCAAAGCATGGGATCAGGCATAAGAGGACAGAACCTGAAACATCGCAGCATAATGGTATAGCTGAAAGAATGAATCGCACCATTATGGAAAAGTCAGATGTATGTTGAGGATGGCAAAATTACCAAAGCCATTATAGGGTGAAGCAGTCAACACAGCTTGTTATTTACTTAACAGGTCACCATCAGTTCCTTTGGGCTTTGACATTCCAGAAAGAGTGTGGACAGGAAAAGATGCTTCATACTCTCACTTGAAAATTTTTGGGTGTAAAGCATTCATGCATGTGCCGAAAGAGCAGAGATCAAAGCTTGACAGTAAAGCTACACAGTGTGTGTTTGTAGGATATGGTGATGAGGAATTTGGCTACAGGGTATGGGATCCAGTAAAGAGAAAGACAGTCAGAAGCAGAGATGTGATCTTTCATGAAAAAGAAACCATAGCAGACTTTGAGAAAAATGAGAAGACT